TCCTTCCATCTCTTTAGCTTTAAACAAAAAAGTGAAAATTAAAAATAAAAATGTTACTAGACGGGCACTTAATTTTCCTGCATTCAAATATATATCTGTTGCTTCTGAATGGAAGTTATGTTCGCAGGATTCTTCTGGCATATTTTGGGACAATGACAGTTTGGCTGGGCTATTGGCTCTGGAACTAAAAGCTGACCTTCTAGTTTTGTTAAGCGATGTAGAGGGCCTCTATAGCGGCCCTCCTACTGACCCGAAATCAAAGTTAATCCATACTTATGTGAAAGAGAAACATCAGGGAGAAATAACTTTTGGAGACAAATCAAGGGTGGGCAGAGGCGGTATGACTGCTAAAGTCAATGCTGCTGTATGTGCAGCTTATGGTGGAATCCCTGTTGTTATCACTAGGTAAATTCTATCATCTAATTGTTTTGATATATAACACCCAGTTTAGATTAAAGAGGATATTTCGGTTCTTAACATTTTCTGGCATAATTCAATGGAATTTCTGGCCCACTGCAATAGTTTCTTGTTGCTAAAGTTTTGTATTTAATTACAGCGGTTATGCAGACAACATAAAGAAAGTGCTTCGTGGAGACCGGATAGGCACTGTATTTCATCAAGATGCACATTTGTGGACTCTAGTTAAGGAAGAAGGTGCACGTGACATGGCTGTTGCAGCGCGGGAATCATCTAGACAACTTCGAGTAATTGTCTTCATAAACTTGTTGCCTTTTCAACTGTGATGGTCGAGGTTCTTTGTATAGAGATTAAAGTATTCTTCAAGAACTTGGATATAGAGCAAGTGGTTAAGTCGAGAGATTCAGGATCTAATGTGAATTATTTTCCTTGCAGGCTCTAGGATCTCAAGAGAGGAGGAAAATTTTGCTTGACGTAGCTGATGCCTTGGAGGCAAATGAAGGTGAAATTTTAGCTGCGAATGAAGCTGATGTTGCTGCTGCGCAGGATGATAGATATGAAAAGGCCCTAATATCGCGTTTAGCCCTAAAGCCTGGGAAGGTATGCAGTTTAGTACTTGTGTAGTTGAAACTAAGCCTGCATCACTCCAGCTTGGATGAAATCTTCTTATTTTGTATCTAATGCGTGTCTATAGATTTCTGCTCTTGCAAAGTCCATACGTAAACTTGCAGACATGGAAGAGCCCATTGGCCGTGTTCTAAAGAAGACCGAGGTCAGGACACTATTCTTGTTGTTCTGATTCAGTATTAATGAACACATATGGTACAGGTTTAGACTTTTAATGATTCAAGTTACACAGAACCGAATATGTTAATCATAGCCCTTTTACATGCAGCTTGCAGAAGGGCTTGTCTTGGAGAAACTGTCTTGTCCCTTGGGTGTTCTCTTAGTTGTGTTTGAGTCTCGACCGGATGCCCTTGTTCAGGTATACAAAATATACACTCCATATATATACTCCTGAATCCTTAATCATGTAAGCCTGCAGAATACAGTCTTGTTTTGGTTATTGACATTTTCTTGATTTTGTTCACAAGGAAGTTTCTTGATAAGTTAACCAACACTTTTCTCTTCCAAACGATTCAACAGATAGCTTCATTAGCAATTCAAAGTAGGAACGGTCTTCTGCTTAAAGGTGGGAAAGAAGCCAAGCGATCAAATGCAATCTTGCACAAGGTTTGAGACTCTGGTTATGGCCTTTTATCATTATTTACAAACAAAGTATAAATTCAGGAGCATGGTCTTCTCTGCATTAACACGTTTCTATTTTGCTTTCGCTTAATTACTTTCTTCTATTTGCAGGTCATCACCTCAGCAATCCCAGAACCTGTTGGCGGCAAACTTATCGGACTTGTGAATACAAGAGATGAGATTCCTGACCTGCTCAAGGTGCGTACCGAAACTTTAACATGTTTATGGTTTTTCAGTACGATGAATACTAAACAATTTGTTTTGCTGCAGCTCGATAATGTGATTGATCTTGTCATCCCTAGAGGCAGCAATAAGCTTGTTTCTCAAATTAAGGAGTCAACTAAGATACCTGTTCTTGGTCATGCCGGTAAGAGAAATAGTATGGGCAATGTAATACCCTACCACTGCAAACTAGAGTTACTAATAAATTGCTGCTTTTGATGCACAGATGGGATTTGTCACGTTTATGTTGACAAGTCTGCTAATCTGGATATGGCGAAGCGCATTGTTCTGGATGCGAAAGTAGACTACCCTGCTGCCTGCAATGCAATGGTAATTTTACTTTTTGCTATCCATGGCTGATCTTTTATGCCCGTCCAGGCGTCCATTATTATCTGTACCTGACATTGGAATTCACTGTACTGGTGCCTTTAAATGTTACTCTTTTTCTCAGGAAACACTTCTCGTACACAAGGATTTGTTGAGTGGCGATGGCGGGTTTAAGCAGATAATTTCAGAACTCCAGGTTTCAGGTCTTATACTGTGTACTTTTTTTTTTGTCCAAATTATACTGTGTACTTATCTATCAACAAACTGCTGGAAAGTTTAATGTATCTGTACACTAACCTCTTTTCTAGTTAAAATTGAGAAAGAAATTTTGATGCCTAACAATGCGATACACTTATTCAAAAAGCCGTGCCTAAATTTTTGTTTGTTCCTAATAAGACTTCAGAACTATGGTTCTGTTCCCATTGATACAATCTATTTACATTTTTCATTTATAAATATTGGTAACGGATATCAGTTAATGACAGAAAGTCGGTTGCAGATGTTACCTTATATGGTGGACCTAGGGCAGCAACTGCGTTAAACCTTCCAGAGACAAACTCATTCCATTACGAGTACAGTTCATTGGCTTGCTCGGTTGAAATCGTTGATGATGTAAACGCTGCGATTGACCACATTCATGAGCATGGAAGGTATTTACATTTCACATATTTCATCTCCTTTTTCCCCTATCGCTGCTGTACTGATATTATTTGCCGGTGATTTCTCTAAATTTATTGCCTCTCCACTCCTCTCCATATCCCCTGTTTTGCAGTGCTCATACCGATTGCATTGTGGCTGAAGATCGTCAAGTTGCTGAAACTTTCCTAACTCAAGTCGACAGGTAAGCATATTTCATGCGTGCACAGCACAGGACAGACTTGAGCATTTTTCATTGGCTTCCCAAAACCTTATTTTCTTCGCGAAAAATATAAACGATATTTTTTCAAACAATGAGAGACACGGTATTCTAATTGGTTTTATGCAAAATTTTCTGAATCGTTCACATCTTGATGGCTATACTATTTCCATTAACAGTGCTGCAGTCTTTCATAATGCGAGTACAAGGTTTTGTGATGGAGCTCGCTTTGGACTCGGTGCAGAAGTAAGTGCTCTCTGATTATAGTTCTGGCATTGATTACCAACACTTTGTTCTTCCCCCTCAATTGTCACTGATCTGGTGCATGAACAGGTCGGGATAAGTACGAGCAGGATTCACGCGCGAGGTCCTGTAGGAGTTGAAGGATTGCTAACAACAAGATGGTATATTAGTCCTGCATTATCTTTATTTCTAAACTTTGAGCATACTGGTTGTTTCTTGTTGCATGATTCCTTCGTCTGCGTAACAAAATGCAGGGTTCTGAGAGGGAACGGGCAGATTGTAGACGCGGATAGAGGGGTCGAGTACACACACAAGGACCTGCTTAATTCCTAAACATCTTGATGAAAAGCTTTTGACACATATGGTCATCTGTTAGCCTTAGTTACTACATATATCTTTATCAAATGACAGTGTAGGAGTTCATTGCTCCACAGAAATATTCTACGTATTGTATCGTCGTATAAAATCGTCCTCTTAATCAGGATCTATAGAGGTTTTAATTATTTCAGATTAAGATATAAGATAGTTGTTATCTCTCTCTTTCATCTTTATCTAATCTTGTTTGATTTTTTTTTTTCATTTAAAAGGATTAACATGATACATGACTACAATCATATTTAGAATTAGGACTGGTTTGATGAGTAGTGTCACATCCCAGCCCGGGTCATTGTCTGCTTTGGGTTTACCATTCCCTCACGATTTTATTTTTGGGAATTCACGAGCAACTTACCAGTGGGTCACCCATCCTGGAAGTGCTCTAGCCTCATTCTTGCTTAAATAAATAAAACTATTCATATCCGTCAATTTGGGAGAGATTGAGAAAAGGGATAAAAATGATAAGTTAAAGCTAACGAGTTAGCTAATCCATTATGAGACTTAGACCTAGTTTGGGAGTGAGGTGCTTAAAAAAAAAGCACATATGAAAGAAAGCTGTGAGGGTTTTAGGTGTTGGGTAAACTGAAAAAAAATAGCTTATTTTGGAAGCTGCTGTGAGAATAAGCTGAAATCAAAGGAAAAAGTTGAAGCTAGTATTTGCAGCTTTGGAAAACTGGCTTTTTTTCAAAGCACACAGAGCTACAGTGCTTCTTTAATGAAAAGACCCACTATTAGACTGCTTTTTTTTCTTCCAAAAGCACTTTTACAAAAAAGTTTACCAAACACTCTGCTGATTTATTTCACAGCCGCTTATTCTCACAGCACAGCCGCTTATTCTCACAGCAGCTTTTTTTCAAAGCACAGCAATACCAAACCAGCCCTTAGCCAATTTTCCACCCTCTTAGTATAGATAATAGCGTTTGTTTAAAAAAAAAAAAAAGCTAACGAGTTTTCCAATCCAATCCTATTCTAAGTACCAAATGAACCCTTAATGGTGTTCCCAACAGTGAATTCAACCTTTAGGTTTGCATTCTGAGTCCCGACAAGGAATTTTGGGTTTTGATGGAAAGTTGATTTAAGCCGAAGTGACCCGTTTGGCAAGCCCAACAAGGATTTTTTAAAAAGTTTCACAGAATTATTCAGGTGGATTTGAACAGGCATAATTCCGTTGAAAAAGTTTCAAATTCTGAGACCCTTGAGGCCGGAACCGATCTGTTGCACGGTGACGGAGTCCTTCCAAGTCCAACAGACAAAGGAGAGTTCTTGGGACAATGTAGAAAGCAAAGCTGCTTATGAAAACAATATTTTCCCTTTCATGGAATGCATGCCATTATTCAAATTTAATATTTAGTCAATAAGAAAGTGAATTATAAAAGCAGATCGCAGACTACGAAATATAGTTTCTTCCATCTGAAATGTTGCAGAGAAAGCAAGAAAATCGACAAACTTCTACGGATCAAATTGAATAAAAGAGGTCATATTTCACCATCCCACAGTTCTTCAACGCTTTTATAAGGACTCAAGCTCTCATGGACTACGAAATCACCCCGTAGGAGCCTTTGCTGCATAACAGACAAGCAACTTAATGTCAATGGAAACTTTTATGTGATAAAATGTGTCGAGGGATGTATTTAAGCATGTGTTATACAAACCTGGTGGATTCCCAAAATTTTCGAGAAGAGCTCTGGGGGAATGGACCAGTCGAATAAGCTTAGATTTTCCTTGATCCTACTTTCATTTACACTCTTTGGAAGGACGCTGTGTCCACTCTGAATGCCCCAACGAAGACATACTTGCGCGGTTGACTTGTTGAGTTTCTTGGCGATTTCATTCAGTACTGGATCCTTCAGAACTTCCCCCTTCACCAAAACCCCTGGAGAACCCAGAGGAGAATATGCCTGAAAGGAAAGGAAGAGTTTTCTAGATTAAAAAAAAAAAGTTACTCGATCTCCTGAAAATTAAAATGGATGTTTAAAAAAAAAAACAAAAAAAAGCTACTCAGTTTCCTGAAAATTAAAATGGATGTCGAACCTTTGAAGTTGGTATCAGTTGGGCTCCGTGCAAGACGCGTCAAGAAAATCTCACTTCTACTTAATTTTCTTTAACTTTGACCTTTTCAAGACATTTGTTTTGGTGTAGAATTATCAATACAATTCTACTTTCGGAAAAATTGTTTTTATTTTTAGTTTTAAGTATCACATTTCGGGTTCTTCTATACGCTAAATAATCAAGTTATCAATCCAATCAATAAATGAGATTAACATTGAGTAGAACTGAGGGCGGATTCCTCCACAGAAAATTTCTCAAGTGGCATATAGAATTTACCGACAGATGAATTCCAGCAGATTTGCACAAATTGTGAAGAGCCGGTTGCTGCCAGATAGGGTGGCACTCCACTTGATTTACTGCAGGTGGAACTTTTGCATAAGAAAGGAGGTCCTGCAGCTTCTTAGACGAGTAGTTGCTCACCCCGATTGCTCGTGCCTGACCAGATGCGTACAGGCCTTCCATTGCATTCCAAGTCTCTGGAAGGCACAATGGAACCATGACTTCAGGAGCAAAACCTACTGAGCCCGGCTTTGTACGAAGTGGATAGTGTATCTGCACAAGAATGTTCCACAAAACCACTTAAAATTTTAATTTCTTTGTTATTGGAGTTCCGAATTCAGGCAGAAAAGGTTATAGCCTCACGAAATGTCGTGCTTATACAAGTACTAGTTGCATACAAGATATAGATCAATATAATCAAGCTGCAGATCTTCTAAAGTCTTGCTCAGTGCCTTAGATACGTCTTCAGGGGCATGGTCACTGCACCTGTATACGTCACGAAGATTCAGGGGAAACAACATAAGACTCCATTGTGTTAGGAGTATTAATATCCTAGGGCTATGAGTTAGACACATGTCAAGAGAGTTAATAGTTAGTTAAGTTTGTTATAGAGAAGCTTAGAGTGTAAGCTACAATAACAAACTATATAAACCTTGTAACAGTGATTTTGTAACAAACAAGAAAAGTAATTCATAGTTTCTGATATTCTCTCTATCTCTCTAAACTCTTCTAAATCTCAGTTCTCTGACTCTTCATCTTCTTTCTTTCTTTCTAAAATGCTTTACATGGTATCAATCGCCGAAACAAGCATGAAAGCTTGAAGGATTTCGATCTTGGTTTTGTTGGTTGCTTCCGCTTCTACAATCTTCTGTTCTCTTCCTACTGTGATTTCTTCTGTTAAAATTGGGATTTTTTAGTTCTTTCTCTCTTCTGGTTCGTTCTTGTCACAAGTATACCCACCAGGTGTTTGTGATTAGTCCTCTGTCAGAGTTTCTTTGGGATTGTCTCATCATCGGTAACAATGGTGACTGCTGCTCAGTTACAGATTCTTCAATCTCCAATTGCATCTTTGATCTCGTCGGTTACAAGCTCTGTGAATGTGAAATTGGATGAAACAAATTATTGGCTTGGCATTTTCAGATGGAGCTACTACTTGAAGGCCATAGTATAATTGGTTTTGTTGATGGATCGATTCCTTGTCCTGACCAATTTTGCCAAGAATCAGATGGAGCTACTACACGGGTTCAATCTGATGACTACAGAGTGTGGAAGATGCATGATAAAGCTTTAATGCAGCTGATCACTGCAACATTGTCTCCTGCTGGAATTTCGTGTGCGATTGGCAGTACCAGTTCCAGAGAGTTGTGGACCAGGCTTAAAGAGCAGTTCTCCACCATCACAAGAACTAGTATCTTTCAGCTCAAATCTGAACTGCAAATATAAAGAAGGGTAATGATTCTGTTACTGTATATTTGCAGAAAATTAAAGAAGCAAGGGACTTATTGGCTGCTGCTGGTGTGTTTTTTGATGACGATGATATTGTAATTCTTACACTTAATGGTCTGCTTGCTGAATTTAATACTATACGATCTGTGATTCGGGGTCGTGAAACCGTGATATCATTGAAAGATCTTCGATCTCAATTGTTAGCTGAAGAATCACGGATTGAAACTATTCCTGCATCACCTATTTTGTCTGCACTAATGGCACAGAACAATGACTTGGCGTCCAAGAATCCGTCTTTTTCAAGCTCTGGGGGAAATCATGCTAGTGCATATCGGTCTTTTAATCAGAATGGTAAAGGTAGAAATCGGATTGGTGCCAATTTCAATCCGCGATATGGCAATAGCAAGAACTTTCACTCAAGTCCTGCTCCTGGTATACTTGGTACATCTCCCCCACGAACCCAGCCTTATGGATTTCAGTCTCAACTCTGTCAAATCTGTGGGAAACCTAATCATGTGGCATCTACATGTCGATTCCGAAACACGAATGTTTCCCAAGGTTGTCAAATCTGTGGGAAGCACAACCATCTCGCTGATACCTGCAGATATCGAAATACGGGTGGTTCTTCAGGATGTCAGTTATGTGGGAATCCATATCACAGTGCAGACACATGTTTTCAGAAAAATGCTACTTCTTCAATGAGTGCTATGCATGCTACACCAACCAATGGTTCTTATTCCTCATTCCCAGTGTCTCCTGCAGCGTCTCAGCAACAAGTTCAACCACAAGTTTGGCTTACTGATTCTGGTGCAAATCATCATATGACCTCTGAAATGGGAAATCTCTCATTGTCCACTCCATATCCATCAAATGAGACCATTCAAGTAGCTAATGGTGAAGGTTTAGCTATCTCTCATGTTGGGTCCAGTCTTCTAAGGACTCCAATGCAGTCTATTCGACTTAATTCTATTCTATATGTCCCAAAACTGTCTCAAAATTTATTGTCTGTGCATAAGATCTGTTTGGATAATAATTGTTGGTTGATTTTCGATGCTTTTTCATTTTGGATTCAGGACAAAGCCATAGGGAGGATACTGTACAGAGGGCTGTGTCATAATGGATTGTATCCCATCATCTCACCAAGCTCGCATCCAGCTGTCACTAAGGGGAAAGCAGTAGCATTTCTGGGCAAACGAATTTCATTCAGTATTTGGCATAAGAGACTCGGTCACCCTTCTAATTCCATTGTCTCTCAAGTTTTACATTCTTCACATGTTCCCTATGTTGCCGATAAAGACCTTTCCTTGTGTCAATCATGTTTAGAGGGTAAATTTAGTAAATTGCCATTTTCTTCCTCAGTACCTAAGTCTGTACAACCTTTTGCTCTTGTTCATAGTGATGTTTGGGGTCCTGCTCCGTGTCTTTCTCTAGAAGGATACAAATACTATGTCACCTTCATTGATCATTGTACAAAATATTGTTGGATCTTTCCTCTCTGCAATAAAAGTGATGTCTTTGGTATATTTGTTTCGTTTTACTCTTTTATTCTTAATCAGTTTCAAATTTCCATTCAAACTCTCCAAAGTGATGGTGGTGGTGAATATATTGGTAGCACATTCCAAAAGTTTTTATCTGAAAAAGGCATCAAACATCAATTATCCTGTCCTCACACACCAGAACAGAATGGGATAGCCGAAAGGAAACATAGGCATATAATTGAAACGTCTATTACTTTATCTCCAGTTTGGTATGCTGCTATGACAGAAGAGATCTCGGCCTTACATAATCAGGGTACTTGGTCCCTAGTTCCACTGCCTAAACACAAGAACTTAGTTGGCTGTAAATGGGTCTATAAGCTCAAAAGGAATGCCGATGGTTCAATTGGGAGATACAAGGCCCGGCTGGTGGCAAAGGGGTTTAATCAAGAATAGGGCATCGATTATGGAGAGACCTTTAGTCCTGTTGTTAAACCAACAACAGTGCGACTAGTCCTGGCTTTATCAACTCATTTTAGCTGGCCTTTGAGACAATTAGATGTGAAAAATGCCTTCTTTCATGGCATATTGCACGAAGAGGTCTATATGTCCTAACCACCAGGATTTGTCGATCCCAAGCATGAGGATTATGTTTGCAGGTTACATAAATCTCTCTATGGTTTGAAGCAGGCACCCAGGGCTTGGAATGACCGGTTCACTGCTTTCCTACCATCTTTGGGCTTCAAATCTACATATACCGATTCATCTCTATTTGTCAAATTTGTTGACAAGTCTGTGGTTATCTTGTTGTTATATGTTGATGACATAATCATAATAGGCAGTGCTTCACAGTCTATTTCTGCAGTCATTCATTCTCTGGCTAAGGAGTTTGAAATCAAAGACTTGGGACCACTTCATTATTTTCTGGGGATTCAAATTGTGCAGAATAAGGATGGCTTGTTTCTGTCCCAAGGCAAGTATGTGACAGATTTGTTAACTAAGTCTGATATGCTCCTCTCCAAACCGTGTGCTACCCCATGTTTGCCATACAACAGACTGCTTTCAGATGATGGCAAGCCTTACAACAATCCTTCTTTGTATAGGAGTTTGGTTGGAGCTCTCCAGTACTTGACATTCACGAGACCCGACATTGCTTTTGCAGTGCATCAGGTCTGTCAGTTTATGCACCGTCCAATGGACTCTCATTTTATGGCTGTCAAACGGATTCTTAGATACTTAAAGGCTACTCAGGGGTATGGTATTCAGTTTGTCAGAGGCTCCCTTGACATAACTGCCTATAGTGATGCCGATTGGGCCGAAGACCCTAACGACCGCAGATCAACTACTGGCATGGTTGTGTTCTTGGGGTCTAATCCTATTTCCTGGATGTCCAAGAAGCAAACAACTGTCTCTCGGTCATCTACTGAGGCAGAATATCCGGCCTTGTCTACTACGGCTGCTGAACTGGATTGGCTTAAGTCTCTGCTGCAGTTTTTACAGGTTCCAGTTGCTATGCCCCCTCTTCTTTTTTGTGACAACTTGTCTGCAATTACCTTGACTTGTAATCCTATTCAACATCAACGCACAAAGCATATTGAGGTGGATGTACATTTCGTTCGAGAACGGGTGTCAAACAAACAATTACAGGTCCACTTTGTGTCTTCCACTGAGCAGTTTGCTGATATCCTTACAAAGGGACTCTCTGCACCGCTTTTCCGGACTCATTGTTCCAATCTCAGGCTCACTTCCTCTGCCCCTGAGCTTGAGGGGGGATGTTAGGAGTATTAATATCCTAGGGCTATGAGTTAGACACATGTCAAGAGAGTTAATAGTTAGTTAAGTTTGTTAGAGAAGCTTAGAGTGTAAGCTACAATAACAAACTATATAAACCTTGTAACAGTGATTTTGTAACAAACAAGAAAAGTAATTCATAGTTTCTGATATTCTCTCTATCTCTCTAAACTCTTCTAAATCTCAGTTCTCTGACTCTTCATCTTCTTTCTTTCTTTCTAAAATGCTTTACACATTGCACATACCAAATACTTGGCTCTAAAGTAAGATCCAACTCTTGTAATTTCATCAAGTTTTCTCGATCGATAACATATATAATTAAGAATATTGTTTCTAAACACTTAGCGAAATGAACTTAGGATTGTGCCGAGATCATATTTATTCACAAATACGAGACTCAATTGAAGAAACAAAAGAGAATGAGTACATACCATAACTTAGATGTAATGAAGAGTTCGCTACGCTGTACTACGCCAGTTGAAAATAGTTCCTTCAGTGCCACCCCTACCTGCAAGATGTCAACAGAAGAAAAGATAACATAGGTCCATCACAATGAAGGATAAAAGAAAATTTAAAGAAATTATAATTAAGGTTCTGTAATAAATGATTAAAATTCTACCTCTTTTTCGTTTCCGTAGACTGATGCACAGTCAATATGCCTGTAGCCATTCTGCAAACCAAGAACACTTCTTGAGCATAAATTTTAACCCTAGACAAAGGCTTTATCTAATCATGTGATAGTTTAAAGTTTGAAGAATCAATATGTGGAGAATGAACCTTGACTGCAGCGATGACAGCTTGACCGACCACGCCTGGTTCAGCCTTCCACGTTCCAAGACCAACAGATGGGATCTTAGCTCCCGTATTCAGATCAAAATACAAAGTTTCGGATTTGTTTTCGCCCATCTTCTACGCACTGAACATGCGATCAGAACCAAGAGGAGCACAAGATTGGCTTATTTGATCAGAAAATATTACATATTCGTCTGGGGAAAAATGACAGAGATGCAAGATTCGGAGTACTCGCCAGTGTTATCCATGTCGAAAAAAATTTCTAGGAGTACGATGCACAAGATATATGTGTTAGACAGATTTTGACGGCAAAAAATTAGGATCTTTCATGACTCCCTAACCGTAAAACAACAAAGAAAATTGACCTCAAATTAGAAGAAAATTGCATTTTGTGTATATATTTTAAAACACTACAAAGTGCCATGTGGTGCAAATAGCATCCGCGTAGACGGGAGAGTGTTTGGCGAGGCTGCCGCACTACGGTTGTAGACACAAAGGGTCGGTACGACGAATCAGCGTGTGAGACATGAAAAAGGGAGTGACATTGGGGGTGTTTTGTGTGCGCGGCCAGACAACATGTGAAGTTCAGACGCTCGTAGTGAAGTTTTTCTCCAAAGTAGAGATTAATTTCTAAATCAATAGGTCCAACACTGGATAATTTAGTCTTAGAAATTGGAAGATCCTGAGAGATAAGACCGGTTAAAAGACAAAAATAACCAAAAAACACAAATTATGTGTGCAATGAGAGAAACTTAAATGAAATTGATTCACTGCCATCGTTGTACAGAAGTCCTTCTCGTGTGTGACACATGACTAAAGATCAGTAACAATTTATGGACAATTACATTCCATAAAAAAATAAAAAAAACCATTAACCAATTCTGCTTTGACAATTTATAGACTTCTGTCAACAAAAAATTGTGTGCCACGAAAATCACCAGATAGATACGCCGGGAAATCGTGGAAATACCAGCAGTCGCCGAGGATTGTGTTGCCTCAATTCGCGTACTCCGGTAATTGAGTGAAGTGGGGAACGGATGGCCCTTGACAAACGGCTTACGATCTATGAACAGCGTCGGCGTTGGTGGCGGGACGGAGGCTCGCTGATTGCCGACTTTTGGCGTGCACAGAGAGAGAGAGAGAGAGAGAGAGAGAGAGAGAGAGAGAGAGAGAGAGAGAGAGAGAGAGAGAGAGAGAGAGAGAGAGAGAGTGAGAAATGGTGTGGGAATGGTTCGACTCTGAAGTCGACTATTTCAAGGTGCACAGGATGATTGGGGCAGTGCCTTTTAAAAAGATTTCGCGCCAGCAAAAGTAGGCAATTTTCTGATTTGACAATGTTTTCAATACTCGAATCAAATTGAAAGTTAAGTGAGCAATGTGGAAGTTTGTTTTATTAATTAGAGTAAACGTTAGAATTAGATTTAACAAATCGTACATAATTGGTTCGTGTCGTTAAGTAAACAATAAGTCTATAAGAACAAAACTTTCATTATCGCGAATAACGTATCTTTCTCGTTTAATTTTTAATTGTTATCGTGAGATTATTTTTTACACAAAAAATCATTTGAATTGAAGATTATTTAGTCATTCAATGTATGGACAAATTGACAGTATAAGTACCAGGTAACATGTTCATGATGAGCCATCCAATTATTTGATACATTGGAATAAAAAATCGTTTAGTTATTCAGAGTATCAAATAAATTGACGGTTTATCATGAATATGTTATTCGATTAGTCCACACAATTTGATGTCTAAATAATCTCAAATTCGGATGATTTCTATTGTATAGATGATATCTTCAAATAAAGATTAAAAAATTAAAAGATGTCGATTATAAAACTTATATATTGAAAATATGGTGCATTGCCCATAAAGAATGCAAGTATTATCTAATACATAATTAACAGAACTTGACACTCAGTACTACAACCTCGTGGTATTCCTCTTCACTTGTAAGTGAGAGGTCTCAGGTTCAATTCTCGTTGATGGCGAATTCGATACTAATTTAGGTTGCCCTTGTGTGGCTTAACCAAACTTTCCCTCTCCTTAATGTAAAATATCTCGTTGTACTAAAAAAAAATAACGGAACTTAATGAAAGAGCTTTACAAAACAAATTATTAGTGAACAATATTTATAAGCAACAAAGGAGCGGGGGTAATGACAATGAGTGAGGATCCCAGAGATTCTCAAATCACATCCGTTCATCGTATATCGTGCAGTAAGAAATCATTGTAAATTTTTTTATTTAAAATTGAATATAAACAGTACCTGATGAAAATTGACAGCACGATATACGATGAACATATGTGATTGGAGAATTTCCAGAATCCTCAGATACGTCAAGGATCCTCTCTGTCAATGACAATGAGACATTGCCACGGTCATGCGCATGCCCACCATGTAAGCCGAAGTGTCTAAATTAATAATGAGACGCGGCCAAAGTGTCTTAATTATAATTTCCATGAGACTATTGAACTTAATAATAAATAGCAATAAGGGCAAAAATAGAGGAGCTATGGCAATTTGATTATATTAAATTGGGTTAAATTGACAGTATCGTAATTAAATTAAAGTTAGTGCATTGTCAACTACTTCTTCATCAATTTTTTGGCAACTGATTCTTCATAAATTAGCTGCTGAATTCAATATAGTACGATATTATCACCGCCTCTTGTCTTATGATTAAAAAGAGTTCATTATATGTTTTTAGATAAAAAAAAAAAAAAAAAAAAAGAGTTTGTGAGACATTTTTCATTAAATTGCAATATGAATAAAAGAATAAGGATCAAGTACTTTAAATCCCTCAACCTTTTAGTGTCATTCCAAATTGGTCTCAACATTTTTTCATCATTCCAAACAAGTACCCAACATATTAAAAAAAGTCACATATGTTAATTCCTAGTTAAATCTGTTAAATTAACTAGGGGTTACTTTGTCTCCAAAATCAATAGAAGGTCATGAAAATGTAGTCTTCACCAACTAACAGTCATCACCACCCCCAACATGTCATCACCTTCAAACCCAACGCAAAACCACCTACTTTACCCTACAACTCAAGTTGCCAACATTGATAGGTCATGGAAGTTGCTGAATGGTATGGATTGCCGTGATGTGGCCACCACCATCTTCACAGTTCACAAAGAAGAACTAGAAGTTTTATGAGCCGAGAATCAACGTATGAGGAAAACACTTAAGCAGAAACAAGTTCCTTGAAACCTATTTGAATTTTTAACCCTTTTATTTGTTAGAAGATTGTGCTCCTAATGTAATTTCAATTTGGTCCATTTTTGATTCAATTCAAAACCCGTTTGATCATTGGGTACCATATTGTATAATTTAGGGTAAATTACATAAAACTACCTCAACTATTGGGTCATTAACAGTTTCATACCTCATCTTTAAAAAGTTTCAATATCATACCTTATCTTCGAATTTATTGCAATGTCATATCTCCCGTCAGTTGTCTGTTAATTCATCTGTTAAATGTTGACGTGGCTTGAGACGGGACCCATTTTCTATTGAAAAATTAAAAAATTATTATTAAAATAATAATTTACCCTAAAAAAAAAACCCCACACCCATCTTCCCCGACCTCTACCCCTTCCCCTTCCTTGTAACCCCCGACCCCTTCCCCACCCACGCCAATAGCTCCAACCTTCCCCACATCATTTCTTCCTCCTCCACCCCTGCCTCTCACCAACATCGGTGCAGGCCTCCTCCATGTGGAATTGGGAAAATTTCTACCCTCCGTCGTCGTCGGATTCCGAGTTCTTCGACCAACGCCAAAAAACTCAATCCCAATCCCGCCAACACCAAAAATCACCCCACCATCTCAACCCGGAACAATTGGGAAGAGATGGGTCTAGGGGGAGAAGTACGCGTCATCACAGAAATACGCCCAGTTGGGGAGAGGGGTAGGCAGCAAAGAAGGAAGAGGTGGGTCTGGGGGAGGGTTGGAGCTATTGGCATGGGTGGGGAAGGGGTCGGGGGTTGTAGGGAAAGGGGTTTGGGTTGCAGGGAAGGGGAAAGGGAAGATGGGTGTGGTTTTTTTTTTTTTTAATTTTTTTTTAAGGGTAAATTACTATTTTAATAATTTTTTAATAGAAAATGGGCCCCGTCTCAAGCCACATCAGTATTTAACAGATGAATTAACATACAACTAATGAGAGGTATGACATTGCAACAAATTCGAAGATAAGCTATGACATTGAAACTTTTTAAAGACGAGATACGAAATTGTTAATGACCCAATAGTTGAGGTAGTTTTATGTAATTTACCCTATAATTTATGTTTGAAATTTAGATTTTGAGGCAACTAATATTAATGTTGACCATGATATACTAAGTTAGTGGGTTTTGAATATAATTTATGCTTGAAACATTAATTGGGGCTCAATGGATGTGACATTTTCAATAAGTTGGGTACTTGTTTGTAATGTTTAAAGAAGTTGAACCCAATTTGAAATGACACTAAAAGATTGGGGAGTTTTAGATACTTAACCCAAAAAATAAAACAAGCCCATTATTATTATGATGTAGTGATATTTTTTTACTGGTAAGCGAGAAATTTTATGTTCGATTTTCAAAAATAGCGACTTTAATACCATATTATTCGCTCACTTCTGAGTGAAAATATATGTATCATTTTTTTTTGGAAAAAATAATAGGATTCTCTCCCTTTTTTATCTCTTCTTCACTCATTTCCTATTTGAATGGTCCAGATCAAATTACATCAACATCTTATACTAATTTTTTTATAAAGAGAAAGATAAAATAAAAAGTGTCAGAGGAGATGAGAGGAGGGAAAGAGAATCGGACTCCAAAAAGAACATATAAAACAACAAAAAATATACCCACACTTTTCTCCAATTATTCCATGCACCAAAACCCCAAAAGGAATACCCAAATCGTGTGGGAAAGCTCTTCAACTATGGTACTAGGACAAATCACAGTACTCTCTTCCACCTTGTTTTTTTTTCGTTTTTATTTTTGTTTTCTGGTCCACCAAGCTGCCAATTCACCACCACAACTTCGTCATCAAAACCTTAAACACTCCGCCAGTTCCCCTCCCTGTTATACCTAGGGATTTGATTGTGTCTGCCTTCCAGAGAGAAACCGACGTGGCAATGCGAATCGCAAAGCCTTTGTTTCTGTCTGAGGGTAAGGACAAAAACATGGTGTTCTCGCCGCTGTCCATGTTGTGATTGGCTCATATTTTAAGCTGTTAACAATTAAGTGACTTTGTGTGTTATACTTTCGGAATAGTGGCTAAATATGTCCATATCTCATTTTGGCTAATAGTGGAAGACAATGATGATGTTTCATGGGATTCTTTTGTTTTGGCCTTTTTTATTGATTTCCCATTTGCATGCCACGAAAGTGGTTTTGGGTTTTGAGAAAAGAGAGCATGATGGATCATCATTGTGTCTATGCAAAAAGGAGAGGTTGATTCACTTTTCTGTCCATTTAATTGCAAAGAGCCGAAGTGGAGAAAGGGTGAGAGAGAGCATCCGAAGGAGAACACAAAGGAGAGAAAATATAGAGTAAGAGTGAGAAACTCTTGGGGAGAGTGAGTCTCTTAGTAAAATTCTGTGAGGGTACAAGGGATTGGGGTTTGGGTTATGTCGATTTAACTCAAGTGTAACTTGTACTATTATTCTCATAGTGAAGAGCAATATCTCTCCGGGGACGTAGGCAGAATTTTTGCCGAACCTCGTAAATTTCTCAGTGTCTTTATTTCTTGTATTTTATTCTGTTCAACTGAGTGTGATTTTGGTGAGGTTGTAATCTGAATCTCGTTTCCGCACTGACAAACGGGCCAAGGCACAACAGTCCATCCACATTGTTTTGAGCTTGATCGCTGCTGGTACCAATGGTCCGGCGAGGGACCAATTGCTCTTTTTTCTAATGTCTAACTCCACCGACGAACTTAATGCCCTCGCTGCAAATGTGGTTCCGTTGATCTTTGCGGATGGATCCGACAATGGGGGTCCCAGTCTGTATTTTCCCAATGGACTTTGGGTCGATGAGTCTCTTAATATTAAGCCTTCTTTCAAAGTAGTGGTGGACGTGTTTTACAAGGCAGTTGCAAACAAAGTCAATTTCAAGAACAAGGCGGAAGAGGTAAGAATCGAAGTGAATTCATGGGCCAAAGAGAAGACTGGTGGTCTGATCAAATAATTTTTTACTCCCTGATCAATTGACGATTTAACTAGGCTCATGTTTTTTAATGCATTGTACTTCAAAGGGGATTGGGAGAAGAAGTTTGATGTGTCCAAAACAAACTAGCATGAATTCTACCTTCTCAGCTGGAGATCAGTTCAGGCACACTTCATGTCCATTGATAGGTGGCAGTATTTAAGGGAGTTTGACGGCTTCAAAGTCTTAGAGCTTCCTTACACATAAGGTGGTGAAGAAGAAGGCAAGCCCCTTCAGCAACATTTCTCCATGTACATTATTCTTCCTATTGTGAAAGATGGGCTACCAGCTTTGTTGGACAAAGTTTGTTCCGACAATGACTTCTTGAATCAGCATCAACCATACAGAAAGGTTGAAGTGGGCGACTTGAGGGTGCATGGGGGTACCTGAGATCCCTCTTTATGTTTTTTGATGTCCTGAATCAGTTTATTAGGTCAGTTTCCTGAAATTCAATCGTTATAATAGATTTTTATTAATTGATCTTTTTATGTGCTTAGGTGCAATTATTTATGGCATTTTCGTCTTCTCTAGTTTGCACGGCTCTTCGACGACAAAGTATCTATGAGTAGACCCTTCTAAAATGCATATTTTACTATTAGAAATGCATACATGTAAAGCATGATTTGTTGGTTACGTTTTATGAAACATTTATGAATAAATTAGATTTACACTTTATGATATATTATGCTTTATCGACTTTATGTTCTTTGTGGTATATATGATTGATGACTATATACCTACTTATGAACGTGATTTTATGATATGACGTTTTAGTTACTAAGCTCCAATTTGAGATAGATAGATAGATATGTGTGTGTGTGTGTGTGTGTGTGTGTGTGTGTGTGTGTGTGTGTGTGTGTGTATTAGAAATATTGTGTTCATGTTTTTTATGTTCTTACTTAATGGTTATTCATACGAACTGCCTACGGGCGAATGAAATCATTAATTGGCTTCGATCAGTTGATGTAGGGCTTACGGGTGAATAATACTGCCTACGGGTGAATGATATTTATATTGGCTTCGGCTAGGCGTAGGTTGGTTGCTTCGGCTGGAAGATACTTATTATATATAGCTTCGGATGTAGTGCCTTCGGGTGAATGAAGATATATGTATATATATGCCTTGTGCTGCTACTACTAAGCACCCTATATACGATATATGTCTTCTGAAAGGTTTTGTGGCATGCTAGGGTTTTCGGAAAAACCTATTACTTATTATGATATATAAGGTTTCTAAACCTGGGGGTTAGTACGTTAAAGATGAACTGTTTTTGTATTACTTATATATCAACTTGGTCCACTCATGTTTTTTTTTTTTGCGCCCCCCTCAGGACTTAGAATCGAGGAGTAGAATCCCAACATGAGGGCACTCCCGCATCGGCATCTTCGAGTCCTCTCGGTGTAGGGACCATCCCTTTGTTCATTCAATTTTATATTATTTCCTTTATAGTGTCTCAAATTAGTTGTTTGATATGAACACGTTCCATAATTGCATAAGCATTGTATTTAAATCTATAAGTTTTATTTATATTTGTAATTCTTCATTTTTCTTATGCATGTTAGTATGGTTTCGCCACCTTCGAGTGTTGGCCAGCACATGCCTACCCTGGTGTTTGGAGGATATCAGGGTCGGGCGTGTCACACAAGTAATGTGGGAACATAAATTTTACTCATCTGGAGTAAGGCTGATCGGAATACAAGTACCTCAGAAGTCTGATCAAAGATTTAATGGACCAATGGTGCCACCACACCTTGTTGGGCTTTGGAATGATGGGCAAAGCTCGCAATCCTTGCTAAGATCGACCATACTTGCTTCGCAAGACATGAAAAACTAATCCGACTAAAGATCATATTGGTTTCCTATATTCTTGGAAATTCCCAGAATCTATGGATTGGTGTGCCCGCAAGTAATCACAATTCTAAATGGAAGCAATGTCTTATGCTAGATATCATGGGTGATTCTCCTGGTTTAATACATATTATATCTTAAAAAGACTCTCTCCCCGACAAGTATAAATACACCCACCAAGGGCGTATCCCTGGTAATGCATACTTTGTTCTCTAGCCCTTGCTCGAGTTCTAATATCTTCTACTGACTTGACCATCAGAGAACTTTTGGCTGGTACCCATACTAATGCCTTAGGTTGTACACTGTTGTTTGTTCTTGTTTGTAAGTGACCGTTCTCGCACAACTCAATCATCCACGGTTCCAACAGGTAGGCCGAGGGCGAAGTAGAGGAAAGCAAGGGTTGATAATTTTGGCAATTCTGTGTAGGGTAAGTAATGTGAATGAGAAGTACCACGAGAAATGCCTTGAGAAAGCACTAAGTACTTCTACAATCTATTAGTTCTTTTTTTTTTTTTTTTTAACATTGTGAAAACCAAAAGCGCATTTAATAATTCTGAAAACACTTCCAGATAACATCTTAGTAGGCAATGTATTTGTAATCGATTCATTTAACACGAAACAACTCTTAATACGTATGGAAACACCATCTCCGCTGATTAAGCATTAGAAGTAAACAATATTTGACCTAGTTCTAAACTACATATAATAAGCACCAGCGCAGCATTGCCCTAATGTTCTCAATCTACTATACTTAACTAGTTATTTAACTACTGGTATAAAATTATAAATAAGAGGTTCTCAAACTAATACAGCTCCACGACACAGCTCCGTTTCTTTTCGTTTAGTGCTGAACTAAACCCTTGGCTTTCTTCAACCAAATCAGGTACTCTTTCTTGTCTTTGTTCTCCATGTAATCATACAAGAAGTCAGACATGGTGCGTTCGATCCCTCGACCCTCGAGATACTTGTAGAAAGCATTCTGCAACTCCTCATCCAAGTCACTGACGGGAAAAAACAGCGCATATCAGAACACAAAAGAAACCATCATCAGAATCTATCCAGTGCATAATAGATGCAAACAAAAGGAATGATCCCTTGAGACAAAGCTTACTGAAATTCAGGTCCATCATAAGCATAATCAAGGTCTTTGGAACAACGCTCAGGCTGCTTGACCGACAAGCAATCGATCAAAATCTCAGTTGCAAAAGCAGAAACACCAAGCTCCAATTGCAGTCCATTTGGTTTGGAAATGCTCACAACCATCGGAATCCCGGGGTCTTCACACTTCCAATCGTCTTCACCTGTGGAAACACTAGGAATATCGACACACACTTGGATGGTTTCGCCTTCAAATTCTCTTTTGAGCAAAATGGTTTGTTCTCCAGGATTGTCTACTATTTGAAAAGGAAACTTCTCTGGGACCTCCTAATGTGTGAAAATCATACAAATAAAAAATTACCCCACAATTTTCACCAAAAAAAAATAAAAAATTACCCAACATTGGATTACTAAAAAAATTGCCCGTTCGGTATTCAATTTAAATACAGTTTTTATAACTTAAAAATAAGTTTTAAATTTTTGTTTGGCCTGTTTTAAAATTTTCAAAACCCGAATTTAAGAATAACTTAAAAACAATGGGCATCTGATAAAAAGAAAAATACACTTATAAGTGTAATGAGATTTTTAGAATGCTAATAACAGTTCATTGATAAATCAGAAAAAATATATTTTTAAAGTTTTAAACACAATCATCTTCAGCCACTTAATACTATGGTCTAGTGGTATTCTCTTTACATATAAGTGAAATGTTTTAAGTTCGATTCTAGTTAAAAATGAATTTGAACCTATTGTTAGCTTATTGTGAATCTAAGCACATCCCTTCTTCTTAATTTAGATAATATCGTTTGTTAAAAGGAAAAAAAAACGCTAACTCCTTAATTGAGATAATATCGTTTGTTAAAAGAAAAAAAAAAACACTAACATCTCTGACACAAAACTCTACGGCCCGAACCTCACCCTCTTCTCTCTCTCCTCTCCATCTTCTCTCTCATCTCCCTCTTCGTGATCTTCGCTGCCAGCGTTGATCGGGTCCACCCCCCGCCGGGCATTGATTCGACTCCGCCGTAGCTCCAGTTAGTTAATGTTGCGGGGAAAGGTTAAGGGAGTTGCCAGCCTTGGATGGTGCCGACAACACGGTGAGGGAGGAGATGGGAAAGGTAGTTGCCAATGAGATCCTAACGTACTTACCTGACCAGGACGATGAAACCAGTTTGGGACTTTCCTAGTTTTAAGATCTAAAATAGTTTCTGAGTTCAATGACAAACAAATTTTTGGATTAAAAAAAAAAAACTGTTTTCAATAGAAAAGTTCTTTTAAATTGTTTTCAAGAATGACTAAAGGTTTTACGTTTAATATCAAACGGCTCTTATTACGGTTTAGTGATATTTTTCTTTTACAGTTAAATGAGAGGTTTTAGTTTTGATTGTCACCAAAAGTAAATTTGAACCACATTATTACTCACTATTGTAAAATTTAACCCATTTCATCATCTTTTAGTATAAATAATATTGTTTATTTAAAAAAATATATATCAAACGACCTTTAGCTTAATTCGAGGAACAGTTACCCAAAAAAAAATGTAACTTTAGAAGTAAAAAACAGCAATTTTGAGATTGGAAACTAAAAGTTATACGCTTACGGCTTCTTTGGGTTTCACGTCTTGGGCACACTTGATCTCGGACTCAAGGACTTCGACCAGACTTCGTTCGCTGATCGGCTCCACGGCTGTGGCAGTGGCAGTGGCAGTGGAGAATGGATGAATTGGAACAAAGCTTCTCCGGATGAGCTGAGGGCTGAAAGTAGGGACGGTGGAGATCACGCGGTGAAAGATGGGTGCTGACCCGACATCGCGGACGGAGAGGACGGCGAGGGATAGGGCGGAGTAGGACGGCCTGCGGAGCATCGAGAAGAGAGACATTTGAGGTCCGGCTATGGCTGAAAATTCAGAGGGTTTAGGGTTTTGGAATTGGATCAGGGTTTTGTCCTTTTGCTTGGGGTTTTAGGTAAATAAAATAAAATATTTAGTATTGGGCTTATCATCTATGGGCCTATGGCTTTGAGTTTGGAAAAGTGCCCAATTTGGGAACTTTGTAAAAGAAGAGACGTGATACATATAAGGGAAATGCTGGGAAACTATATTTTTTTAATAAATTATAGTATCTATACTAAAAGGTGAAAGAGTAGGCTAAGTTTTATAATGGACTTGTCATAACAATGTAGTTCAACTTCGCCCTTTTAGCGAGTACTTTCACGTGATATGTGGGTCCCCTTGGCCTTGCACGATGATGGTGGGTCATGTGGCCCAGTGTGAAGGGCGAGTCCTCTTGGCTCCACGTGGTTGACGATGTGTGGATCTTCACGTGAAGGGGCGTGTTGAAATATCCCATATTGACCGTATCACTAAGAAATAAGAGTTTAAATATTTTAATCTCACTTCAACTAATATCGAGGTTTTTTGTGATAAAATGTTTAAATATTCTAACCTCACTTCAACTAATACTAAGGCTTTTTGTGAGAACCCCCACACATAACGGATTTGTGTAGGTCGTAATTACCAAGTTGGAGACAATATCAATGTTGTTGGAAGTGGGCTTTTGGCCCTTCTGACACGTCCAACCCTGATATTCTCCAAACATTAGGGTAGGCACGTGCTAGCCGACATCCGAAGATGACGAAGCCATACTAGAATGCATGAGAAATAACAAATATAAACAATACTTATGAATTTAAATACAATGATTATGCAATTATGGAAAGTGTTCAGAGCATACAATTAATCCTAGACACTAAAAATGAATAATATAAAATTGAATGAACAAAAGGATGGGTCCTACACTGAGAGGACTCGAAGATGCCTATGCGGGAGTGCCTTGACGCCGAGATTGTACGCCTCAGACCTAAGTCCGGAGAGGGCGCAAAACAAAACATGAGTGGACCAAGTTGATATATAAGTAGTAATAAAACAGTTAATCTTTAACATACTAACCCCCAGGTTTATGAAAACTCAATAGTATAATATGTAATAGGTTTTCCGAAAACCCTAGCATGCCATAAAACCTTTCATAAAACATATATCATATATAGTGTGCTTAGTAGTGGTATATATATAAGACATATACATATATATAACATTTCATTTGCCCGAAGGTATATAGAACACTTCTTCATTCATCCAAAGGTTCTACATCACACGCCTGTAGGTAGGTCATTCGCCCGTAGTTAGATCATACACATGTAGGCAGAACATATGCCCATAGGTAGAACACATGCCCAGAGGCATCAACCGAAAGCCCGGCCGTAGCCAATATAAATATCTCCCGCTCGTAGGCACCAACCAAACGCCCGGCCAAAGCCAATCATATATCTCTCGGCCAAGGCCACCAACATACGCCCATCCAAAGCCAATATAAGTATCAATCACCCGTAGGCTTCTACAGCACCCACCCGAAGGCATATATAGAAGTATCATTTGCTTGTAGGCAGTAACATTCGAATAACCACTAAGTAAGTACATACAAACATTAACATAATATTTCTAATATATATATATATATATATATTTTATCTTAATCGGAGTTCAGTAGCTAAAACTTCATATCATAAAACCTATTCGTAGTATATAATCATCAATCATATATACTATATACTATGAAGAACGTAAAATCGATAAAGTATGATATTCCAAAATATTCTCAGTAAAGCATGATAATCATAAAGTGTAATCTAATTTACTTATAAAATATAACCATTAAATCATGCTTTTCATGTTTGCACTTCTACTATTAAAACATGCATTTTAGAAGGGGTCCACTAACAGATACTTCGCCGTCAAAGAACCGTGTAAACTAGTGAAGACGGAAATGCCATAAACAATTGCACCTAAGCACATAAAGGTACCAATTAATAAAACTCTATCAAAACGATTGAATTTGGGAAAACGGACGTCGGAAATGGATTCAGGACATCGAAATTAGCCTAGGAAGGATCCGATCAAAACCAAAAAAAGTCAATAAAAAGTCAACTTTGACGGGTCAACAATCAACGGTCAACGATCAAAGTCAACGGTCGGCGTTGACCGGAAGTCAATGGTCAACGAGTCGATCAAACGGGTCAAATGGGTTGGGTTGGATCCAATTAGGGTTTAGGGTTTTGGACTTGGGTTAGGGTTAGGGCTAGGTTAGTGGGTTAGGGTTTAGGCTAATGGGTTGTCAGGCCCAAAGGTTTGGGCCTAGGCTAAAAGGGTTTTGGGTTTCTGGGTTCTAATTTAAAATGGGTTGGGCTTGGATTTGGGTTGTTACTATGCCCAAAGGTTTAGACTGGTTCATTGGGTTGGCCCAGCAACTGGGTTAGGCTCCTAATTGGGCTATGGGTCGTAATAGCCCAATTGTTTCGCGGGTCGCTAGAACCACGAAAGAGAAGGCCGGAGAAGTCACCGGGAATTCTCGATCTCCGATGAAGCTCGAAACATAACCATATTTAGTGTATAAATGAAGCTAAAGAGAAAGAGAATGAAGATTTACCAACACGAGGGCAAGCCGTGGTTGGAAAGCGGCCAGAAAACCTTTACAACTCGCGGCCAGTCATCGGAAACTGGGGAAATGCTTCCCCAGAGATATCTCAACGTTCAAAAGTTCTAAGTTTCTCAAAAACAACCTAATCTAACTTATAACAACAACTAAAGAGGTCTAAGGTGCTTATCTTGGTCGGAACACCCGAAATCTCGTCAGAGAAATAAAAACACAGTGTGCACAGTGCCATGCAAGGAAACAGAGTGAGAGCGCATGGTGGTGAGGAAGAAGGAAGGGGGATCTAAGTGAGGGCGATGATGATATGGTAGCTGTGGTGTGTTTGTATGTATGGGTGTGTGTGTGATCTCGTCGGAGAGGAAAGCACCGAGAGAAAGAAAGCAAGATAAAGAATTAGGAATGGGTTGGGAGAGAACAGAGGGATCTGAGAGTTTATGGGATGACACATGGCAACCACAAATAGGAGGAGGGGGAAACTGGGGAACCAAAAGGGAAGGGCCCCACAAGGCACATAGTTTAAGATCTAAAAGCACAAATAAAAAATATCTTCCAAACTAAAGTGAAAATATGAAAATACCCTTTCGTTCCGTAAATCCCAAGATGGGTTGTTACATCTTTTCTCTGATAATTTGACAAATTTTTCATCAATTTTTAATTGAAAATTAAGCTATATGTAGGCCATCAAATAATTAAGAAAAAACACGAATAATTCTACGATTGAAAGCTTTGGAATGACGTGTAATTTGATTGTGGCTATGAGTGAGCTAAAATATCTTTAAACTTTTCAGGTTCCATTGTGGATTAGTCCTACCATTTAGGGAAATTGCAAATGTATATTGACTACTATTGAAAAATTGATCATTTTGGTCAATTTCTCAAAAAAATTACTAATAAAAAGGAAAAAAAATATATAAGTGGATACTCTCGACAAACTCTCAATTCTTATTAGTGCCGTGTAACATCAAAAATCAATTGGTCACAAGTGCAAAGGTTTTTATGCTAGACTTTGGTTGTGAGATACTCAACAAAATCCAAAAACTAAGAACAAATGAATTACCAAACAGAAAACCATCAAGCCAAAGCTGAGAAACAGGCAAAGCAATCAAGAAAAACAAAATGCTGAAAGTTGCAAGTGGCATACTCAACTAATCGCTGTTTACGACATCAACTGTCATACTAATCATAAAAAAAATGCTCCCAGAATCTCTTCCACATAACTCCTGTAGGGACCAAAAGTATCATGAACGAATACGGCCCCTCTGATCAGTCTTGCCTGCATAATTAGAAATCAATGTAGTTAGTTAGGAGAAAAGACTACATAGCAATTACTACTGCATGATTTGCTCGGGCCACCACAATAATGGCATCCTCCTTGTAGGTAAGTTCGGGTACTGATAGCACTGAGAACAAGAATCATTTCCAGTGACGACTTATTACCTGCTCGATTTCAGAAAACTTGGCGAACGAGTCATCTGGGATAGACCAGCCAAACACATCAAGGTTCTCCTTGATCCTCGCTTCGTTAGCACTCTTGGGAAAAACACTATAACCCTTTTGCTGTCCCCATCGAAGAGCAACGTGTGCTGGAGTTTTGCCTAATTTTTCAGCAACTGTCCGAAGAATTTGATTCTTAAGGACTTCCAAGTTTGATCCATGTTGTTCCAGGAGAGCCCAGTGGTGAATATCCCTGAAAGAAAAATATATGTTACTTTTGTAACTGCTCAGGACACAGACAATGTAATTAAGTATTGCATACTCACAGAAAGGTGAACTCCCTTGGATTTACAGAAGGAACGTATCTTATCCTGCTGCCATACAGGATGGCACTCCACTTGGTCAACAGCAGGAGGAACACGTGCCACATCCAGCAAATCTGACAGCTTCTTTGTGGAGAAATTGCACACAACAATAGCTCGAGCCTTGCCCAAATCATAGAGGGTTTCCATTGCTCTCCAAGTTGTAGGGATGTCAGTATCGGTAAGGTTTTCAGGCTTAAAACCCACATATACCCTTTCTTCATCCGGACTGGCCAGTGTATCTTCGAAATTTCCAGCAGGCTCATTAGTTGTAGCCAAATAATGCTCACAAAATGACATAACAATATTTGATTTCAACCTGATATTTAGAGTAAGATGCAGGTAATATAGCCAAACTCAAAGGGATCAATGCCTTTGAATGTAACTTATAAAATCAAATTTTGGATTTTGGAAAACACGCGACGATTCCATTCCTTATAAAGAGCCTCTTCTATATGTAAATTATTAAAACAAAATGCACACAATTTTGTATCAAATTCTGATACAGGCATAACTTGAGAACAAGATTGGGACAGGAAATACGTACAAGGTACAAGGCAACATAATCCAGTTGCAAGTCTCTCAAAGTGCTGTCCAATGCCTCTGGTACATGTTCGGGAGCGTGATCAGTACACCTACAGATAAACAACCAAACAAGGGTCACAGCACTATCACTTAGCATAAATAACCAGCAGTTACTCTAATTAATTCTTCGTGTGCTCAGCGAAATTACTCAAGATATCTCACTACTTAGTTAAATTAGCATGAACAACCCAGAGTTTGGAAGTAATCCACAAATCCTCGTGCTTCACCGCACCATTTTCAGACAGTTTCTTTAGAACCAAACCAACCTACAAGAAATAAAAACTGTTGGTCGAACCAAATTTTGGTAACGACTCAAACATCTTCAAAGAATGACACTAACATAAATTATTTCAAATTATTTCAAATTAGGGCTTTATAAGTAAGTTGGATCATTTTCCGTATTGTTTATTGATTTTATGGTGTAAAACCAACTTTGTTCATATAATCAGAGCAGGTTGTCCATATGTTAGGCTTCAAATTTCGTCACACGAGAGTAGGGATGGGCAAATACCCATTGGTTATGGGTAACCGCGGTTACTCACCCATTTAAATTAAACGGTTACGGTTATAGGTAACCGTTTAGATAAATAAACGGTTATGGGTATAACCGTTTACCCGCGAAATTTAAATGGACGGTTATGAGTATTAACCACGGTTATAAACGGGTAACCGTTTACCTATTTATTTTATATATGTAAAACTAACACAAATCATGTTCTCGATCCAATAATACTTAGCACCCAATAAATTAGCAAGGAATTCATCGGTCATTTTCTCAATAACACTACTATAGGAATTATGATTCTCATCATCAAAGAATTGGCCAAATTAATTTAAATTCCTTGCGGGTAACCGTGAAATTGACAGAAATGCTTTGACAGAAATGTTTTCTAAACAATTTTTGTAACCCAATAATACTTAGCAAATATTATATTTACCTTCATTGGTAACAATTAAAAATATCGTCCGTAAACTATTAGTTCAATTATTGGAATAGTATAAGGACTTAAAAAATTAAAATATGGAAATGTATGATGAATAACGATGTTCAATTGTCAAAAAAAAATATGACAATTTTTTTTTTAATTTTCAAGTTGTTAAAAAACATGTAGATGGGTGAAAAAAGCGTAATTGTAAAAAAAAAAAAGATAAACGGATTAAAAATGATAAATGTGTAAACGGGTATTAAACGGTTACGGTTAAATGGGTATGCGGTTATGGATATAGTTAACCGTTTATAAACGGTTATAACTATGGGTATAACCGTTTATAAACGGTTATAACTATGGGTATAACCGTTTAGGCAATTACCCAATGGGTAAACGGATATACGGGTATGAGCATAAACGGTTATGGATAAATTAACCGTGATTACCCGCCCGTATAACCATTGCCCATCCCTACACGAGAGGTGTATTGTGAACAAATCCCATGATAATGAAGTAAGGGAAAAAAAAACTCGACTTTCTTCACTAATGATAGACAATAATCTTCCACAATGATCAATTTTTCAGTTCGAAAAAAATTTAAATAGAATGTGTAGTAAGGGAAAGAAAAATACCTTGACAGCGGCGTGTACGCCGTCACCGACGAGGCCAGGGCTTGACTGCCAGGTCCCCAATCCTACAGAAGGGATCTTAGCTCCGGTGTTCAGCTCGAAGAAACGAATCTCGCCCGCCATTTCTCAGTCTCTCAGGAGGAGACAGTGAAGTTTAGAGAGAGAGAAAGGGATCTAGAAAAATTGAAAGGCTCTTCCCGCACTTTATATAAGAGAGCGGGAGAGAATTCGAGACGTCATCGTTTACGAACGTTTGATAAGGACTGTTACCTCTTCCGTTTTCTGGGATGTGGTTAGTGCCCTACTAGTCCGGTTATTGAGAGACTTTTCAATGTGATGGGAACAAGAGATGACAGGTTATATGTAAACATACAATTAGTTGAATTTCTTTTGAAGTGTTCATCAGTTTAAATAATGACATATGTCCCGCATACCCATGTTTCCGTCATACTAAAAAATCTCTCCTTGGTATCAGCCTATCAGGTGGCACAGGGAATCTCAGCCTTTGAAATGGAAGTTGCCACCTTTTGTGGCCGTAGATTTTACGTAGTCAAATCAAGTCACCGAATGGTCCAGGTAAGACACTTGTTGGAGTTATCAAACGGCTATTTCTTTGCCTTTTATTCAAGCCATAAAAAAAGGATGTCGATTTTTTTCCAGGAGACCACACAAGTAGAAGGAAAAGGATAAATTGTGAATTTTCGAGGTGTGTCAAACTAGTCGTTCCCAAATTAAATAGCTGCAATTGTCCAAGTGAATAGGCTTTTCTTTTTAAATTCATTGCGTTCTGTGCTCAAACTCTCTAACTTTTTTGTTCCAAACTCCATGTGTTTAGTGTTCTCTGATTCTGGAGAGAGATTTTCAATAGCGTTGTCACTTTTATAGCGTTAAGGGCCACTTTTGTTTAATGAACGCACTTTTGTTTTAGTGTTAAGGGCCATTTTTATAGCGTTGTCATAGTCTGTGAACTCGTTTCACCTAAACCATTCTCTTAATTTGATGATATGCTAAAGTAAAATGGTTTTTACTTTTAAGAAGTCGTTCTTCTACCAGCGATTGTTTGCATAATTTTTTTCATTTTCTATTTTTAACGAGTCACTTCAATACAGGTTTCAGTCTAACGTGTAGGTATTAAGAGAAGAAGATTTGATTAAATGGGAATCAAGAAGCGAAACAAGGGGAGGAGTGCATAAGGTGAAAACGTGACTGAAAGATGATGAGAGCTGTTGTTAAGGCAGGGCAGAGAAATCAGACAGGGATTAGTTAATTTCTTTCCGTCTAAGTGTAGGGACACGAGTAAAAAGCAGGTTAGGAAAGGAAATAGAACAAGCAACAGTGAACAGTTCCACCATTTCAACACCCAACAGATGCAACATTTTCGACCTTCAATATCTTCACGTACAGCGTACTATATTCAAGACATTCTTAATCCAGATTTCTATGCAGACTAAATTTTGTGGTTATAAACAGTTTGTTCTATGTATTCGAAGAAGCCGAAGGAGATGTAAAGGAAATTGCTTCCTAACATCAAGGTTCTGCTCACTCTTGCCGTCCCATAATTCTTCCAGGGTCCTGTATGCACCCAGAGTCTCGTGCACAAATCCAGTTCCTTTTTATAAGCCTCTCCTGCATGATCAATCGAACAGAATATTGAATTCAATCAATGTCTTGTATTAACGAAGTTGAATAATTGCGAATATGGAAGTTCTCTTAAAGTCACAGCTTACAAGTGCCTAATCGATATGACCAACGAAAGGATACATTGGAAAAACTATAGAACATCGTCGTATAATGACAAGCAAGTGCAGAAACTAACACACCTGAACGAAAAAGAAGGAATGAAAAGAAGGGGAAAAGGAAAAAGCACTTGACTGATTAATTTCAGAAAACTTGGCAAACAAGTATTGAGGTATAGACCAATAGCATTCGTAAGGACCTTGTTCGTCGCCAATGATGCAAGTCCCTGGAATATGGTATTAATCACAAAAATCTATAAGTAACTAGCCCTTACTGAATTGGGGAACCGAAAAGATTGACAACTGGTCCATTCTGTTTTCAAAGCATTCACGCAGCTTTGGTTGCTGCCAGTGAGAGTGCAATTCCCCTTGATTAACTGCAGGAGGTATTCGTGGGGGTGGTTTGGCGTGTCTCTGGGTTCGTGGGGATGACGTGCGGGTGGTGGGTCGACTTGCGCAGCTAGAGCAACGTCGAGCAGAAGAGCGTTGTTGAGAGAGAGAGTGATGTTCAGCAGAGGAGAGAAAGATGAAATGGACGGACTGATCTTGAGCACAGTAAACGGGACCACAGAGAAACAGAGGCAAAACCGTCGTTCATTATGCGTGAACCGTTCACGCATTAAAATCAGACTGATGCTCATCTCTTTCAAGATGAAATGGAAATGTTCACGCAAAACTGTCGTTCCACTATGCGTGAACACTTCTTTTAGAACTGGCTTTTAAAATAGAGTAGTTTGTCAGCTCTCTTGAATTCAGAAAGAGTAATTTGTCGACTCTCTTGAATTACTTTTACTAATCCGGGTTAAGATATAATCGGGATGCCAATATTTGGACAAACTTTTTGTGAAATGCCTCATAAAACTTTGCTTTGCAAGTCATTGCCACAAACTTGATATATCTGGCTCCGGAGAAGGTGACATTTTGCAAATGCCGTTAAACCAAATGATCATTGACATCAATGTTTCATGACAGACGAAGCGAACAGGTTTAAAATTTCAATGATTCTGAAGAACCTTACAAGTTATAACAATGTTCAACACAAGTACCAGAGCTTCTGAATTCACCCTTCTCTAAGGAGCCACTGAAAATCAAGCTACAACGAAACAAACAGGCTAAAGAAAGGCATATAGAAAAGCTGAATGTTTCAAACATTCGCTCTTCCAGCCTATGCTTACAATTCTCCATCCCAGAGCTCCTCAATGGTCTTGTAGGCACCGTGCTCCTTGTTGACAAATCCAGTACCTTTCACTAACCTTTCCTGTACGGAAGGAAATACGAAGAAACTTTAGCAAAGTCGAATCACATAGAAATGAAATTAGACTATAGCAGATGTTACTACGCAGAATCTTCCCAAACAGAAAGTTCATTCATAATTCAAGCATGATACACCAAGAAGAAGAAATGACAACTTGAATTTGGGGAAAGAAAGACGGGACAAAGAAAGAATTACTTGCCTGCTTTACTTCAGCAAAGTTTGCAAGCAAGTCTTCAGGTATAGACCAATCAAAAACATCAAAGTTTTCCTTGATCCTATCCTCCTTTGTGCTCTTAGGCAGTACACTGTGACCCGATTGTAGCCCCCATCGGATAGCCACTTGCGCAGGAGTCTTGCCCAGCTTCTCTGCCACCGATAATAGAATTGGATTCTTAAGGACATCACCCTTAATGCTACTTGTGCCAGGGGATCCCAATGGTGAATACCCCTGAAAAAAGAAAAGCATCACAGCATCATACCAATAATTAGCAGCTTGTGCCTTTCGAAAATCATCAAAAGAGGCCTTTAACTTCATATCAGAATACTTACACTTAAGTGGACTCCCTTGGATTTACAGAATTCATGTAGCTTTGGCTGCTGCCACTGAGGGTGGCATTCCACTTGATTAACAGCGGGAGGGATGCGCGCCACAGCCAACAGGTCGCCGAGCTTTTTGGTAGAAAAATTGCTAACTCCAATAGCCCTGGCCTTTCCAGAGTCATATGCTGCCTCCAGTGCTTTCCAAGTACTGGGTATGTCAGGTTGGTCAAGGTTTTCAGGCTTAAAGCCAGCGGAACCTTTCTTCATCTTGACCGGCCAGTGGATCTACAATAATTTTACGAACATTCGTGGCAAATAAGAGTTTATGATACTAGTGAAATTTGTAAGGTTGCTGCTTGTTCTTAAACATACTCCAACGTCGTATCATGAAAACGAACTAAATCATATACCAAGATTGAAATTATTTTTGCAGAAATCATTTGGATAATGTCAAATAAAGTGTTATCTTGTCGAAGATTTAACATTCTTTTAATGGTAACGTTCGATTATTATTTGAATGTACGATCCAAATCGTAAACTCATACACCAGCAAACCAAGATATCAGATTGTACTTACAAGATACAGATCGAGATAGTCGAGTTGTAAGTCTTGCAGGGTACTATCTATTGCCTTCCGCACATCTTCTGGTGCATGATTGCTACACCTGCACAGTGACACATGCAATTTCAAAATTCAAATTCATCCTTTCCAATTAGATAGTAAGACCATCTCCAACCCATGAGATAAAACTTAAAATATAAGCCTTAAACCCCCCCCAAACCATCTCCAACTATGGGCTAAAATAAGTCTTGGGGAGAAAATATATCTCTGGGCTAGATTCTCTCTACGATTTAAGTCTGGCTTAAATTATTCTGAACCCACTAAACTGTTATATTTCAAACATTTCTTTTGTTTTTTTACTTATAATCTAACAGCTATGATCAAACGAGATCAAATCTAATAGTAAAAAAAAATATTTGCCAACTCAAAATTAAATCTAACGTCTAAAATAATTTAAGAAAATTATTTAAATCAAATTTAACTTAAAACTTTATAAATACATATGTATTTGTATGATATTTAATTACTTATCGAAATTTAAATATTTTTAGATTAAAATGTTCATAAAAATAAATTAGGATACTCTACATAAATTTTATTTTCAAAAAAAGTTAGGCTAAAATTATTTTTTTAATAATTTCGAACTAAAATTTTAAGTCACAAGTGTTAGAGGAGAAAAATAGTTTCTGGCTTATGGCTTAAAATTTTTTGGCTTAAATTTTAAAGTTTTATCTCGAAAGGTTGGAGATGGTCTAAAGACTCAAGAGTCTTGAAATGGAAAGGGAAATACACACAACAAAATCGGTTACAAACATGTAAAAAATAAAATTAAAAGGACATTAAACCAACAATAAGTCATACCACGGTTTAGTATCCTTTTATCGACGTTCATTTTTCACTAAAAGTTTGTAATCAGTCTCGTATATTTCCCAAAGTTAATAAGATATTGAAAACGGACCAGAGTTTTGAAGTGATCCATAAGTCCTCGCGCTTCACTACACCATCAGCATAAAGCTTCTTCAGAGCAAACCCAATCTACCCAAAAATAAATAAAAAAAATCCATGAAATTACTGGTCACTGCGATACATAAATCATAGAATAAACCAGATTAATTAAGCAGAAAAATTCGAAACACACAATTAATTACAAGTAATGAAATTTAAATACCTCCTTTTCATTTCCATAAGCTTGAGCACAATCAATATGCCGATATCCAACCTGCATTGACACAGACGCAAAATTAAACTTAATTTTATTTATTTATTTATTTTTTGGAATTGGACTTTTAAATTAAAGCAACCGAAGATACCTTGACGGCGGCGGTGACGGCGGCAGCGACGACGCCAGGCTCGGCCTGCCACGTGCCCAGTCCGACTGACGGAATCTTGGCCCCGGTGTTGAGCTCAAAGAACCGAATTGCTTCCGCCATTTTTCGCCTTTTTTGTGGTTTGTTTGCAGAAAAATTCACACTTTGCTTCGATTTTCGAGTGCGAATATTGGAGCAAGATAATTGGGCCAGTTACTATATATGGCAGGAGTAAAACGGCAAGACGGCAAATGAATGACGTTGCATAGACTAAAAGAAGCAATTATTTGACCAAAAACTAAACGGAAGAACTATATGGTCCATTGCATTTTCCCCTCAAGTTGGAGAGAATGGTAATTTTATGGGGGCAGCCATGAAGGAGCTTGTTTTGGAGTTGGGCAATTGGAGAGAGGATCCCCGCCGGAAGATGTGGAACCCGAGATTTCCAATCACATTCGTTCATCGTGAATTATATAACTAGTTTTGATGATGTACTCTCTATATTCAATTTTAAATAAAATAATTTTTAATAATTTTTAACTGCACGATGTTTAATGAATGGAAATGATTTGAAATTTTCCAAGATCCTCATAAAGAGGATGTGGTCCTCACTCGGCAATTGGGGATTTGGATCCTCTCTGGATCCCCTCCCTGAGAATCATGGGGATCAAGGCATAAGGACCATTCACCAAAGATCGTGCGACTACAATTAAATGTTTTTTATATTTTTAAAAATAAAGCAGTCCCGTTTTGCATAAAAAAATTTTAATTGTGACCGCACGATCTTTGATGAAAGATCCTTGTGCCTTGATCCGCGGGATCCCTAGGGAGGGGATCCGGAGAGGATCCAAATCCAGCAATTGGGTTCTTTCCTTTGTGTTTCTCTCTCCTATATTTCAACTTTGGTTGTCGTCATTGTCGCGTCACCAATGACGTTGATCAATATTTGTTACCAATTTGTTTTTTTCTTTCTTTTAATTTAGATATAATCTGAGTTTCTTCACCCACTTGCTTGTCTATATCAAAGTTGAAAAAGGAGACAATTTTTTTTCAACCATTTTATAACCACAATAAAATTATTTGGTTAATTAATGTTTGTTATTTTAAAAATAAATAAATAATTTGCCTAAAAAGAGCTCTTTCAAGTCATGAAATTGATCACAACATAAACCTTTTATTTTATGTGGTCTAATATTTTAGTGACACACCCCGATCCTAGAATCAAGATGTGCTGGCCGTTACGTGGGCGTGACGTAACCAAAAGTGCGATGCGGAAGCAAAAGATAAAAGAAATACGAAGGAATAAAAACCAACTACTAGCAATAATATCCAACTAACATGCTAGAGTGAGTTTAAGTGTGAAACACACATATTCAAAGCATAAGTACTAAGTGCAGTCAAGTAGGACCATTACTAAGTTACAACACCCGAGGGTGAGTCCTACATTTAAGTAGTCTGTCGGTACGCCGTGGGAATCCTCGTGGGCCACCAACACTGCTAACTAGAACCTGGATGGGCGCAAAACAAGATTGAGTGGGTCAGTAAAACAAAGTTTTTCGAAAATATTTCATTTAACAACACTTCTAACCCCTTACTGTAAAACCTATATACTTTCCCAGAAAAATAGTATATATAACCATATATAACAACAAAACTCAAATCACAAGTCTTTAACACTTTTCAAGAAATATGCCATGCTATGCTTCAAACATGATAAGGATGCATCAATATAACAAGTGAAATAATGAATCAACCGGAGACCCTGCAGTTGTCCTGTACGGTTAATTCTATAGCTCAATATCCAACCCAACCGGAGTCACCACTATGACCTGTACAGCACTACTTTGCACATAAATCGGAACTACCTGAAGTAATCTGTACGACAAGAATGGTGTAAGAATACGCTCTAGTGCTTCCCTCATCAACAACTGTATAATAATCTAAAGTCACCTACAAGTCGGAACCACATCTAATGGTCTGTACGACATGTCGGAACCACCTCTAATGGTCTGTTCGACATGCACCTACTTGGATCCAAGGTGAGTGTGTGGTGCGGGGTGAATAATATAAGCACTAACACCAGAGGTGCAGGTTATGACCTCTCAACACAA